TAGTTGATGATGTTGATCTATGTACTAGTACACCACTCAGTGCTGTTGGCTTCGCCCATAGTCCAATTGTAAATGACTGATTTGTTGTGCCTAGCGCTGTCAGACTTGGTATCTGAAAATAAGATGATAGTAGTATTTTCAAGAAGAAAATGGAAATTTTCGTATATAGAAATTTTCTGTTCTACTGTATATATGTATCATGTTATTCAGTTTTTTGTGATGTTTTTCTCTTGAGAATGGCCTTTTAAAGAGCCGAAACGTTGATGAATAAAACGTTTCACAATATTAGCTGCTGATAATTTCAAATGACTAAATTACTCAAATCATTGCCCAATGAATAAAGAAAATTATTATTGGGTCTGAATTTGTCCACCTCTGATACAACCGTATTTCCAACGGCAGAAGCAGTTTTAAGGTTAACTAAAGTAATGAGTAGAAACGACTATACGTCTGATCGCTTTCTAAAGCTGTATTCTCAATCACCGCAGTTCACTTACAAACATACCTTGTATCTCTATACCTTTCTTGCTTTTATCAGGTACTAGTTCATTCTGCGTACCATTAATTGGCTTTTCATCCATGGGTCAAATGATTGCACAAATCTACAGTGCATCATCAACAGTTATATCTGTCATGGGCCCACAAATACAATTAACACCATTTTGGACACATATTGCTCAAACATGGTCATCAACAAATGGACTACGTCTTTATATCAATGGCTATTTATATACAAGTGTTACTGCGACAACCTCCACAGCGGGTAGTGCACAAAATTATGTTACATTGGGTACTGTATTAAGTGGTAGTGGTTGTTCGACCGGTTCAATTAGTATTTCACAATATTATGGTGCCATAGATGATTTTCGTATATATAGTAGAGAATTAACAGCGACAGAAATATGTCAGTTGGCCAATCCATAGGATCGAGAATAAAAAGATCTATTTATCAGACACTGTTTACTAACCCGTATGCATCTCTTCTTTTTCATTTGCAAAGCTTTTTAATCATACATCAAATTTTTTTCTAGTGTTTATAGAACGTTACAACCATTTGTAGGTAAAAGTCAGTGCACCAATGATATATAATACTACAAGTATCACATAGGGTCTACTCTGACATGGATTTTATAAAAACTGTACTACGGCCAATACAACCAGACAATTGAGTGCAATCGCAGGGACTGACATAGATGTCCAGCTATCATTATCTAGATAACGCAACGCCTAGTAGATAACGATATGTTATTGTACATGTTGTTATATGGGGAATAAAGAATATGATTAAAAATAGGGGAAATAAGAAAATAAGAATTTAACAAAATAGAGGAACTAAGGAAATAGGCGATATAAGAATTTTTAGGAAAAAAAGATTTAGGGCCAAAGTTTAGAATGTAGTGCTCTTGATCGATAGGGAACAGAAGATAATAGAGATTTAAGGAACGGATCGAAGAAGAATTCAGAAATAAGCTTTGTAATTCTAGTTGAAGTTCGGCATATTCTGTGGTCTTCCCATTGCATCCCAACGGAAAGAGAGAATAGAAGCTCTGTGCAGTAGATATCACCGTTTGCTACCCGCGGATTTTGCGCTGTCTGTTTCACATATATGCACAATAAAAAACTTTTTTCCTGCACCACGTCATTTATTTTCGAAGTCAAAGAAACAAGACTTTACGAAACAGAAACGAGTCAAAAACAAATTAGTAGTCCACCATTTTGATATGAATAATTTTCAGTATGTCTCATCTTCGATTGTAAGGTGGTCCAAATTCAAAATTATAGCACTATTTTATTTTTGGCTTAATCATACATCATTCGATAGAGAATTTTACGCCGATCAAGATTATCTGGTTTTAGCCTTCCCAGTTCATATTATCAGCGGAAAAAATTCAAAAAACTTGACGAATCTCTTTTTTCGAAAAACCACTAGCTTTTTTTAAAAACTGAATAACTTGGTTCGACCTCATTTCGAAGCCGTGAAACTATATTTTTCTTATTGACTGTTGAAAACTGCATCTAGAAAACTGTATTTCAAGGTTCAACACCAAAAAATATTTGTTGGGTGCGAAACGGGGCCGATATATCTTCGGTTTCGAGACCCTCATCTTGCAAACCTATCGCAGCTCTTTGGTTAACACATGAAGCCAAGTTTCATACGTCATTCGATTCGCCTTGAAACGAAGAAAAAAAGTATGAATCGCTT